TACCAAGTTTCATTGAAATGTAATGCTCACTACTTATATCAAAAGCTGAAAATTAATTAATTATGCAAATTAGGTAATTATATGTACTGATATTACCATAAAAACTATCAGGTCTGTGCAGTGTCATATGACATCTATGTACCAAGTTTCATTGAAATGTGATGATTAGTACTTGAGATATCAGTGGAAAAACCGAAAATTGATTAATCATTATGCAAATTAGGTAATTAGTATCCACGGATTATTACCAAAAACTAATCAAAACCTAGCATTAGTTCAGAGCATCTATATACCAAGTTTCATCAAAATCCAAAGAGTGGTTCTTTAGATATCAGTGGAAAAGTCATAGAACAGCTAAAAATTAGCTAATTATCATGCAAATTAGGTAATTAACGAGCATGGATTTTTACCAAAACCTAATCAAATCTGCGCATTGGCCCAGAGCATCTATGCACCAAGTTTCATCAAAAACCGATGTATGGTTCTTGAGATAGCAGTGGAACAGTCGGACACACATACACACACACATACAGACACACTAACTGCAAAGACTCCCATTTTGTGCTTCGCACATGGGAGTCAAAAACGATGGATGATGCCAACGTGTTCAAAATACCATAGCTCATTTAAATATGTTAATGTTATTGAACACAGTACGAAAAAGTTTTGCCGATGTTGTTGTACGATCTTTTGGCTTGGAATAGGTGTCAATGACTACAGCGAAACTTCTAGGCATCAGAAAAGATTAAAATAACAACTTAAAAAACTGCCGAAAAAGCACCCTGGGCGGTTATTTGGTCCCATTTTATTTTTTTTAAAACCCGAACTGCTGTTTAACGGACCTGGGCAAATTTACGGCAGAATCCGGTACTTTTACACTAATGATTTTAGACCCTACCCTACCTTCAATGTGTCGGACACCGCTCTGTATCGCTGACTAAAATGAGTGAGAATGAGTTTCTTTGCATTTATTTTATTAGCAAACTCCGCAGCCATCCCTGTAAACAAAAATATGAGCTATTGATTAAACTAAACGATGTATATTACAAGACAATCTGAATTAACATTCTAACTACACAAGTAACATTATGTTTACAAAGCAATCAGATCAAAGGTTTCAGAGAAGCAGTTGATACCTGGAGTAGAGTGTCCATTTTCAATGCACTTGTCAAGCAGCTCATTCTCCAACGTTGCCTCATGAACTAAGATGTCAGTATCCATGGCAACTGAGGTTATCTGCTCGCTGCATGACGTGTCCCCTAAAATAACTGGTAAGAGAAGAATTTCAGAAACTGGATGTAATATGACTGTCAGTCATTACGATACATGGGAATTGCATTACTGTTACGTACAATAATTCCAAACTGTATTTGGCAGATACCTATTTTTCTTCCTAATCGCTGTGGACCGAGTACATCTTGAGGCGTAAGCACGTCGCCGTTATCCAATGTCATATTCTCACCATTCTTTATCCGACCATACAGCGGACCAGGAGGTACACCCAGGTCAAGAAGTTTCTTTGAATCTAGTCTGTAAAAAAAAGTACAGGATAGTTATATTTTCACTATTAGGCCAAACAGAAAATGGGTTTTCTTTCAGGTCAATGTGTATTTTTTTCTTGTTTTTGCAAAAATATTGTGAAAATGGAAAAATAATAATAATATAATTAAATAAATATAAAAAAACACACACAAAAAAAAGGCTATCTACATTTTTTTGAACATCCCAGGGCCATCATAATAATTAACAATGCTAGTTGGAGCATCGTTGGATGCAGTATTACTCTGAAATAAAACGACTCATAGGTCATCTCAAGTCGGTATAATTTCTTCAATTTGACAATTGGAATGTTTTGTTGTTCTTTCCAAGACAGTTCTTGCTGACTTACTTTCCTGGCAGCGTGGCTTCCTCGATAACAAACCCAAATGTTGGCACTCGATGAGTGAGTGGAGCAGCTTTCACAGTTATTCTTTTATCACCATAACTACAAAAGAAATGTTAAACCCCTTTAACTTGACAAGAGATATAATTTCATGAATTTTATGAACTGAGATAACTGTAGAATTTTGTATCTGTGAACAATGGCATCCTAAAGACATGATATGATATGAGTGTTCTCATTGATGGATTCAATATCATATCAA